GTTTGTATAGCAGCTCGCTGTACTAGTGAAAGTGTCGATAATTTCGATTGGCGTTTCGAAAGGATAATGCAGGTTAGGGGCCTCTCATCCATACACCTTTATAGAGTGTTGGAGAGCTTCGCAAGACCAATCTAGCTTGGGGAACTAATCTTGCACTAGTGGAGAAATGACTAGCCATAATTTTTGTTGGTGGCGCGCCATTTCCCAACAATGCGGGAACTAATTTTTTTCAAATAGTTGTGGCGTAGCTATATTTGGTATGACATTGATATGACCTTAGTACTGGCGTTGTATTGTTTCGTCACGCCATAGATATTTGCTGAGTTTTTTTTCTTCTATTAACTACAGTTTATTATGGCATGGCCCATTAGGCCCACGCCAGCACTATTCCATCTTCTAACTACCCTATCTAGACAAAAAAAGCCTAAGTATGATTCACCCCATCGTCTTTTTCACTTCGTCCCCCTCTCGACCTGCATGCCGCCACCACATCCCGATCGCAGCACTTGTTGCCGCCGGACCAGCGCGACCGACGCCACCTTCGGGTGAGGAGGTGAGTGATACGTCTCCAACGTATCTACTTTTCCTAACGCTTCCTCTTGTTTTGGACTCTAATTTGATTGAATGAAACTAACCCCGGACTGACGCTGTTTTCAGCAGAACTATCATGGTGCTGTTTTTGTGCAGAAATAAAAGTTCTCGGAATGGAATGAAACTTTGCGAGGAATTTTTATACAATAAATAAGAATTTCTGGAGCCAAGACCTATCGGAGAGGGGCACCTGGGTGGGCACGACCCACCAGGGCGCGCCCCCTCTCCTGGCGCTCCCAGGTGGGTTGTCCCCATCTGGTGGCCCCGCAGACCCTGAAACCAACGCTATAAAATCCTATTTTTCCAGAAAAAAATCAGGGAGAAAGAATTATCGTGATCCACGAGACGGAGCCGCCGTCACCTCCTGTTCTTCATCGGGAGGCCAGATCTGGAGTCCGTTTGGGGCTCCGGGGAGGGGGATCTTCGTTCTTCATCATCACCAACCCTTCTCCATCGCCCATTCCATTATCCCCACCGGGATTGAGTAATTGCTTCGTAGGCTTGTTGGTTGGTGAGGAGTTGGATGAGATTATCATGTAATCGAGTTAGTTTTGTTAGGGCTTGATCCCTAGTATCCACTATGTTCTAAGATTGATGTTGCTATGACTTTGCCATGCTTAATGCTTGTCACTTTGGGCCCGGGTGCCATGATTTTAGATCTGAACCGTTTATGTTATCACCATTATATCCATGTTCTAGATCCGATCTTGCAAGTTATAGTCACCTATTACGTGTTATGATCCGGCAACCCCGGAGTGACAATAGCCGGGACCACTCCCGGTGATGACCGTAGTTTGAGGAGTTCATCTATTCACTATGTGTTAATGCTTTGTTCCGGTTCTCTATTAAAAGGAGGCCTTAATATCTTTTAGTTTTCAATATGGACTCCGCTGCCACGGGAGGGTAGGACAAAATATGCCATGTAAGTTTTTTTCCATATGCACGTATGACTATTTACGGAATACACGCCTACATTATACTGATGAACTGGAGCTAGTGCCGTATCGCCCTAGGTTATAACTGTCTCATGATGAATATCATCCAGCAAGTCACCGATCCAATGCCTACGAATTTATCTTATATTGTTCTTGCTAAGTTACTACTGCTATCATCACGGTTACACTTGCTATAAAATTACTGTTATCACTGTTACCGTTGACGTTGCTGCTATCACTACCATCAAAACTACCATATTACTTTGCTACTGATTACTTGTTGCAGATAATTAATCTCCAGGTGTGGTTGAATTGACAACTCAGCTGCTAATACCTTTAAATATTATTTGGCGCCCTTTGTGTCGAATCTATAAATTTGGGTTGAATACTTTACCCTCGAAAACGGTTGCGATCTTCTATACTTGTGGGTTAT